CCCATAGTACGGCCCAATATTTTTCGAGGCCCTTTTAATCCTGGATTTGGTCGCAGCGAGCGGCAGTGCGCGACACAGACACACCGACGCTCCACACAATTATTCTGTAATACACCGAAAAAAAAAACCGCACCTGGCTGCGGTTTTTAGAGAGTCTTTAAGACAGTCTCTACAAAACGGAAATGTGCCCCCTTCCCTCTTAGTCTCTGTAGTTGGACAAAGAAAAACTATTTGGCAAATTGTAAGTGACCTGTTTTTTTCCTTTTAAGTTTGGGACCAGGTTAAGTAAATAAAAGACGAAATCGCGACAGTTTATCCGGCGTGTGTCTAGACGGGAATCTTAACGAGGAGGGTGAGGCAAAGTGGGGTTAAGTTGTGCCCTGTGCCTCCCCCGCGCGGGGCCCTAGACTGGCAAGGGGGCGGCGGGGTGGGGGCGGCCGCGTGGCTTTGCTGTGGCGAGAGGGATCGGGCCAGCTGAGGATGGGGGTGGGGAAGGGGGACACGGAGGGAGGAGTGAGGCTGAAGCCCTACCCCTCTTGTCTGAAGGTCACCGCCGCAGACGCACAGCTCCGCACACCTGCCTGCAGCTGTGAACAGCTGGCACCCAAAGTTTGGGAATGCCGACCCGGCACCTATCTACCTATCTGCCTTCAAGCGTGAAGGTCGGGTGGAAAAAAAGGACGAAAGTCTACACAACAGTTACGCCCGCACACAACTACAAACAAAAAGTACAACGTGATAATTCACGTTTACCCCCCTCTGATTTCCCTCGCGCTCTCTCTCTCTCTCTCTCTCTCTCTCTCTCTCTCTCTCTCTCTCTCTCTCTCCCTCTCTCTTTCTCTCCTTCACACACACACATACATACATACATACGAGTGGCCTGCACGTTTGCTGTTGCTGACTGCACCATAAATATATATATCCTTTTTGGATTAAAATGACATTGCAATATAAAAAGAACGGCCCTCGTCTATCGCTGCAGTAATATGGGACCTCGTGCTGTATGCAGGCTGGGTGCTTTCGCTCACACACATACACACATGCAGCACACACACAAAGTCACACACACGTGGAAAGTCCCTCGTCATGTGCGCGCGATCCCCATTTTTCCCTCTTTTATTTTTGCATTTCACACCACGGCGATGCACGCGGGGCGCAGCGCTGCAGCGTTCGGGATGAAAAATGTGACGCCGCCCCGCCATAAATCTGTTTTGTTTTTGTTTTTTCTCTGTCCGGTCATCGTATTTGTATTTGCCTCGCCTGTTGAATCGGAAATATAGAAAAAACAAAGCAGAGCAGAAGTTTGCGGAGCGGCAGGGCTCAGCAGCGCAGCGCGGCCCGGCCTGGACCACCGCGCGGCTCATGCAGCGCATTTAAAATTTTGATGAATTTACGGGGAAACAAGCAGAGAGAGAGAGAGAGAGAGAGAGAGAGAGAGAGAGAG